CCCGGCGGTATACCTCATCCCGCCGGGTGAACGTCCCCCTCTCTCTCTGCCGGCGGCCACCATGAAGATGGCCGCCGGCAGGCATCAATTAGATGACAGCGCATGCGCGATGACATCATGGCCGACCGCACGTGGTAACGTCACGCGAATGCACCTAGACGTCACTGTGGGGTGTCGCCTGTTCTCCGCTCCAGGTGACACCCGGCCTGGGGACGCCCCTGTCTGTTGTTGCTTTTTTTTTTTGCTGCCGAACACCCGACGGAAGATTCCCCCTCAATACAAAGTACACTCGGCAACAGGAAGTCAGCTGCGCGCAGGAAATAATCTTCCCTCGGAACCTGAACTTCGTCTCTGCTTCCTTCAGCCCCAATGAACTTCTGACGCATGTTCTAGTAGATGAACGCCAATGTTCTTCCATGCCGATAGGCCCAGAGGATGCCGAGTCCCGTAACAGCCTCCATTGTGTGCTGAGAATTCCGTCACCTGTCCCCCGACTGCACCCAGCGCGGATGAACATGACACCTCACATTACCATCATGAAGCATTAATAAGACCGGGACAGCGAGGTGACAACTTGTAATGACTTTGTGTTGTCTTATGATCCATCTATCCGAGCCATCCAGATCCTCCTCTGACAATTTCATTTCCTCTTAGATTTCACAATGTCACCATTGTATTGCGTGTTATGGAAGCCGCACCGAGAGGCCGCAGAGAGGAAAATCTGCACCGTCACCGTGAATGAAAATCAATGCAGAACTCCAGCCAAAAACAACAAAATAAAAATGAAAAGCCCCCCAAAAAAGGTGAAATAATTTAAAAAAAACAGCTTTGTGCTGCAATATTCCCCTTCAGGCAAGAGGTTTCCCCTGCACTGGAGGTCATCAGTCTGATAGCCGGCATCATTCAACCCACTTCCTCTGAGCCCGTGTCGTCCTAGACCCGCCCCCAGTCTGTGAGTCAGGGCTGTAGCTACCATGGGGCGAGTGAGGCACTCGCATCAGGCGCAGTTGAGAGGGGGCGCAGCCAGGGCCGGGCCTGACTGCGCCCCCTCGACACTGTTGCCATGGCAACTGGGGGTGGGGTGGGCCGTCCAACACT